TGCATGCTGTTTCTCTTCCCCAAGTGACACTTGGGGAAGAGAAAAACTCGACACTTGCCCTTGTGAAACTTCATCAGGTTTTACTTTTCTCTCCAGGCCGGAGGACATTTCCCCGGATACGCCGTCACCAAGGGAATCTCTTCACCTTGGTCCCTTCAAGTCGTTCCTTAAGCACCAATGGAGAAAACCTGGGCCTGGCCCTGCAGTACCTGGACCCCCGGGGCCGCCTGCGGAGTGCCGACAGCGAAAACGCCCTCGGCGTGCAGGAGAGGAACATCCCCACCAAATGTAAGCACTCACCCTGGTGACAGATAACTGGGGAAAGGCCTCTAGGGGTTATGGGCAAGAAAAGATTTTAGAGATCAACTCCAAACCAAACGTATTCCCATAGCTCGATTTTAATAAGCCATTCAAAACCACGTAATGACATGGTTGTGTTTTGACACCAGTCTGTCTCACCTGTAAGCCAGGTCCTCATTTTTTCCTTTAAGAATACTTAGCCTTGCACTGGAAGCTGGCCTTGCCTTTAGAAAGCATTGGAAATTCAGCTGAGAAGTAAAAAAAGCCTCTAAGTTGATTGCATCTGGATGATCTATCTTCAAACAGTCAGACAAGCTTGCTTATTTTCTTGATGCATTAACATTTGTAGTCAGGCTTGTGGATTACTGTTATTTTACAAGTTAAGGGCAGTATTTATTTCATTTGCTCCTTAGCAGAAAGATTTACTTCTGTATTAATAGCCTCTCTGCACTGGCTTTTGGGCAACTTTATATTATAAAAAAAGAAATGGAACATAAATCATTACTGATGAACTTCAGATATCCTGTACAGTAATTTAAGGATCAAAATAAAGACATTAATGCAGCAGAGTAAGCAAGGCACTAAAACACCAACTGGCAGTAAATCTGATTAAATTAGACGTGGAAAAGCTGATCTCTCAGCTCTTCTCTTTTTTCACACTGTCCAGATGGCTGGTTCCTGTCTTTGTTTTTAGAGTTTCTTGTGAGATACTACATAATTGGATGCGTTGCACTGCCTGAGTCTGGTGGTGCTGTCTTCAAAGTGAGAGCTAAAGCACTGATCTTGGAGTAATATGCTTTGGTGTTAAGCAAAATCTGGAAAACTGGGCTCAGGTGTTAATCCCTGGGTCAGGACACTGCTGCTTGTGCAGTGCACTCACCAGTGCAGTAGAACAGTGAGAACTCATAATTCCCTGCTGATGTAACCTCCTGCTGGGGTATTGTCAGTGGCTGGTTCTTGTGTTTATTTTTATAAGGGTCTGATCTTTCAGCAGGTAAAGAAGATACCCATACTGTGCTTACTTCATGGCTTCTAGCTTACCAGTTTCTGGTAGGGAATTATGACTTCTAATTTTTCTGCTGTAGAGACAGCCTGGCAGTGAAATCCTTCCCACAGAAGAAAGAATTCCAAACTAACCAATGGCTGGAAAAGAACTCAGGAGTGTCCTTCAGGTTGTCCCAGAACCTTAAAGACTATTCCTAGCTGGGTGGGATTGATTCAGCAATGCTGATCCAGCTCCTCTTCATCTGACACATGTAGTAACTACAGATTTAGGGATGGAAGTTGCTGTATAATTGCTGGCCCCATCTCTTCAGACAGTGATGTTGTAGAATCCACTCTACCGGTGCAATGAAATATCATCAATCTCATTGAATCTCTTGCCTGTAGTATGTCTTTGCCAAATGTCGCACAGTTTCATTTTCAGGGGACACCAGTCAGCAGGTCCTGAGAGTCTGAATGGTTGGGTTCTGTTTGAAGTTCTGCCACTGTCTCCCTTATTCTGGGACAGTACCTCATGTCTGTTCCTTCAATCCCTTTTTCAATCCCAGTACGATGGGGATTGGTCTTTGGAAAGATCACCATTATCCTTAAGTAGTAGAATGAAGAGAGAAATTGTTACTGTTCTTTTTCAGCCCCAAGTGCTCCAATAAACTGGCGACGAGGAAAACTTCTGGGCCAGGGTGCCTTTGGTCGTGTGTATTTGTGCTATGATGTGGACACGGGCAGAGAGCTTGCAGCTAAGCAGGTCCAGTTTGACCCAGAGAGTCCTGAAACAAGCAAGGTAATTCTCATTGAAGCTTCTAAAATTCCTGATGCAGACTTTGAGATCCTGTAAAGTGCCTGTAGCCATCTGTCCTTGAAAGCTAGTATCTAATTTAGTTTGGACTAGGATTTCAACTCATGTGGAGAGGAATAAGAGTCATTTAGAAATTGCTTTTCCGTATTATTAACTTCAGCCTGAAACTAAAATCCGTTTTCTGGCTTCATTTTTGGCTTTCCCTTCTCAACTTTTTGGTTTGTTGCCAGGTTACTTGAGGAATACTAGACTGCCCTGTGTTCCTGGTTAGACATGGATGTGAATGAAACTAAACCCAAAAAGAGTAGAATGTTTTTTCTTATTCAAAGTAAAAAAGATGCATGCACTTGCAAAACCCACTTTCTGGGCTTAAGTGGTAGGTCCTGTGTGGTGTGTTAATTACCAGTTTCTGCTTCTGAATTCTCCCTGTTCTTAAAACAACAACTGTGGTGTGTAAATTAGTCAGGAACAGTGGTGTGATGACACGTTGGAAATAGTGAAGGTGGGAAGGGGCACCTTGAAGTGATAGGTTAACACAACTCCATGCACAGAGGATGCAGCTCTTGGGTTCGTTGCTGGTGTTTTAACACTGTACCAGTTCCTCAATATTGAACAAACTCACTTTGAGCTGGAATAACTGATCTGTGAAGATTTAACTATGGGAGGTTGGTGCCAAGATAAGTCCTAATGTGGTAAGTTCTAAGTTATATTATACCATGTCTCTGCTGTAAACCAGACAGTAACTGAGCCAAGGAAGAACAGGCTGGAATGTGTTTTGAAGGCACTGAAATTCCAAACCTTATGCTATCAGTTGGCCCAACTGACCATCTTCCTCAGGTTCCATGCACCTCTGCAGAAACCAAGTCCTTACTCTTGAAGAGCTTCATCCTCTCCTGGAGCAAGAGAAGTGAACCTGGCACCTTCTGGTGGCAGGAGTAGAGAGAGTTAAGTGGGACTAATTTGGGAAGACCATCATTCCTTTTTCCATAAATCTTCATGCTCCAGTACCTTTGATGTTCAGCCTGTTCATTCCGTGGGTTCTGCAAGAACCTGATATTTTTCCTGGGCAACAAACATCTGGGATTCAGTCTGAAACTGCCTTTTTGCCTTTGTGCTCTGATACCCAGTTGCCTGTGGCAGGGATAAAGCAGAGACTCAGTTTCATGTGCACAGCTGCAGATTCTTTGAAGTAAGTAAGAGAGGAAGCTGTCTTAGATGCTGATTCCAGTAAAATCACCAGTGTGGATCCGAGCAGGACTGGGTGACAAAAGAAGTTAGCAACTCTTAGCACCTGTAGTCTTGCTGTCTAGTGGATTGAGGTTCCTACAAAGACTCCTAGCAATTCTCTAACTGTGTATTCAAGAGCATTCTCATAGCTGAAATGAACACTCACTGCCCTCAGCTTAGTGGTGAGAAGTAAGGTTGTATCTGTGGTGTGCGTGGAAAACACTTTCAACCAGCTTAGCTAAAGCCATTCAGATGACAGAATCAAGACAAGAAACAAAAGTTTTTCTGGTATTAAATCCATATATGATACTGCTTGTGTTCCAACTACCAAAGCTTCTGCACCAATACTTACCTGTGTATTGTACAGTGAGGATTAATGTGAAGCATGAGTAATGTTTGCCTTTCCCAGGAGGTAGGAGAACCAACACCATGGATTTGACTTCTTCAGTGTAGTAGTGGTCTCATTCTGCCAGTGGCATGGACCTATTTATTAGGACAGAATTTGTCCTGGGGCCAGAACCTTATTTTCTCCTTCAACATCTGTAGGAAGTGAGTGCCCTGGAGTGTGAAATTCAGCTGCTGAAGAACCTCCAGCATGAACGTATTGTGCAGTATTACGGCTGCTTACGGGACCGAGCAGAGAAGACCTTGACCATCTTCATGGAGTACATGCCAGGGGTAAGAGCTGATGCAAGCAGCACAGTCACAGATCATAGTGAGATGGGTGGTTTTGTTGGTTGATTTATTAGTTGCTGTGATTCCCCTAACTGTGTCATCCATCCTGTGTCCTCTTAGGGATGCCCCTTTCTCATACTGTCACTATAATGTCACTACTTTCTTTTTATTTATGCCCAAACCACCTCTCTGTTGGATTTTTCCCCAAGTGTCTTGTACTTGAAAGACATTCTCTTCAATAGTCCCTAAAGCAAATTCTTCTCTTCAGTTGAATTTTGTTCTATTAAAGTACTTGAAAAGATTTGAGCCATCTTGTGAGGAATTAGCAGAGTTGTGTAGTACAACAAATTAGGCTAAAACTGACCCTGCAAAAAGGGAGACTTTTCACTCAGATTCATCCACTGCATTGTCTAATTGCTTGCATTAACAAACAGTTGTACCAGCACAGCTCAAGGATGGAGGAAGCAGATAGAACCTCCTTAAGCTACTTTTGCTGTAAAGTGTGTCCTTGCCCTTCTTGAATGGGGCTTTTTGGGGCAAGATTCTGTGAGAGCCTCACAAAGAGCCTTTCGAAGAGGCCAGAATTCATTTCCGTGCCAGCTGGGTGTGTAAGAGTCACAGCTCATGGGACCTGAATGGAGACTGCAAGATCTGTGGTTTGTCATTTCTTTGCCAATCCCTTCTGTTTGGTTTTGGTGCAGGGGTCAGTGAAAGACCAGCTGAAGGCATATGGTGCCCTCACGGAAAACGTCACCCGGAAATACACTCGGCAGATCCTCGAGGGAGTCTCCTACCTTCACAGCAACATGATTGTGCACAGGGACATAAAGGGTGAGATCAGCTGCTGATTTATGTACATGCCACGTGCTAGAGGAACTCTGAAACAGAAACCAAGTGTTAAGATTTCAGTGTCCTGGCTGAGGCGTCTGAACATTGCTTTGCTCAGTTATCCCTTTTTGGTCTTATGTCCATGTGCAGGGCTTTGGGAAGGTCGTTTTCTGGGCTGGTTAAGGGAGGTTGGGCTATTACCTGTACAGGACCTGAGAGTGTGGCAGTTGGTTATAGTAAGGAAGACTGGAATCCTCTAATTCTTAGGAACACTCCTCTGTAACTGCTTATCTTTCTCTCACTCACCAGCAAAATGAGGCTTAGTTGCCCCCTGAATTTCACTGCCCTCCTAAGGCACACTTATTTCCCTGTGGAATCCCTTCTAATTTCCTCTCTGCTTGACCCAAGTACTGTTTCTCAGGTGGCAGGCATACCAAGTGCCATAAGAGCTCTGTCTGCTCCTGACAGTCCTGCTTGTCTCAGGCCCTTGTGACTGTCCTGCCTCTTCCACATAAGAAACCTCCAATATTCCATGTAGAGCCTCCATGATGAGTCCTTAATCTTCCTCTTTTCAACATAACCCCATGGAGCCAGCCAGTCTCCTTAAGAGTTAGTTAATGTCAACAGATGAGGCAAACACCACACAAATTATTCTGTGCTCTAGAGGGACCAGGAGAGTTGCTTGCTGCAGAAAAAAATACCCTCTAGATCTTGATTACATCCCCTCTAGGCTAGCAAAGGGAGATGAGCTGCTGATTCTTGAATAACACTTTGTACACTGCTGATGTGGTGCTCTGTACCAAATGGTTTCCTGCCTGGTGGGTTATTCACTAGTTTGCACCCATCTAAGCCAAAGTGTTAACTTGTTTTATCTGGGGGCAGAAGGATTTCTCATAGGCATGTACCAGATAACGGCAACCCAGGGTTCTTGATCTTATTGTGGCTTTGGAGGAAGAATCCTTTTTGGTGTCCAAGCCTTAGTTTGTGTCTACATACTAGCTAAGCTCTCAAGTTTCCTTTTTTCCCTGGCGCTTCATGCTCAGGACCTTTGACCGAGTAGAGTGGAGATTGACTTGTTTGTTGTAGGAGTTCAAAGTGGTTTAATTACCTACATCTGTTACCCAGCTGACCAGAAAGCAAGGGTTCTACTCACCCAAGCAGCACCCCAGTAAAAGCCTTTTCCACGCAGCTACGACCTGTCTCAGCCATTGGCCTGGAGGCCCTGCATAGGCTGTCAGAGCTGTTTACAGGCAGTGGAACAATGATGGTGCTGACTCAGCTCTCATTTCCCTTCCCCCTTCACTTCCTTCTGTTTTTCCCCCCTGAAGTTTTTCCCTATTGCAGCCATTAGCAACTGGCTTGTGTACAGCCTGTATTAAAGAAATGATGTTTAGCAGGTCACCTGAGGCTTAATGGGGAAAAAGCCATACCATGAGCATGGGTATTTCTGGGCTGGATATCAGGCTGCGGATCCAACAGCTGGATTGCATGAAAACAGCTGTCTCCATTCTTTGTTTTTTGTCCAGGAGCCAACATTCTCCGTGACTCTGCTGGGAATGTGAAGCTTGGGGACTTTGGGGCCAGCAAACGGCTGCAGACAATCTGTATGTCTGGGACAGGCATCCGCTCTGTCACTGGCACACCATACTGGATGAGCCCAGAGGTGATCAGCGGGGAAGGCTATGGACGGAAAGCAGACGTATGGTGAGGCTTCAACTTTCCATCCCCTGATCAATTTTCAGCTCTTTTGGAGCGAGATAAGACGGACACATTCCGTCGTCCCTGTATCCCAGATCAGGTTTTGCCCGGATCAAAAGCTGAAGGTGAACTGAAGCAGCTGGTTGGCACTGAAGGCATGACCTGCTGCAGGCTGTGCTTTGCAATGCCAACGTGCAGCAGCTCGTTGAGCTTTTCAGGAATGATTTCCACTCATTCCTCCCTCAAACCAAGAGCTGATTTTCTGTTTTCTGACTGGTGTGAGGTTTCCATCCTTTCTAAATCCCTTAAGAAAGAGGCTGAAGATTGGTTAGGAATTGTCCATTCATTTGGTTATAAAATAAGAGGTATGCTAGTAACACACTGGAAATGAAAGGAATAGAATTGGAGCACTAAAGGAAAGATGCCCAAACCTAGCATGACACAAAAGGTACAGGTCAGATCAGAGGTCATCTGAAGTATGTGTGAATGTTAGTGGCATAACCAAGAAAGAGCCTCTATCAAAAGGAAATGGTCCTGTGTCAAAATGTTAGGTTTGGAGGCCTAAAAAAGGTGAGATGATGAAGCTAAACTGAACGTCAGTGACAAAAGGTATGTCTGTCTCTCCACACTGAAGCCAGGCCCGTGCTGTTTCCTGTACAAGCAGTGAGTGGAAGCGCAGCTGCAATGTGTCTTGTCTGCAAAGAGTTAAGTTCTGCAGACTCTCCCAGTTGGGAAACTTGGGGAGAGAATGGAGCACGTGCCCTTCCCCCTGGGTTGATGCAGTTGTGGATTTCCTCTTGGTGCTGACATGGGTCCATTCCCATCAAAGAGACGCTGCCGTTGGCCGGGCTCCAGTTCCTACAACCCTGATGGTTATTTAGGGGGGTCAGAATTTTCCAGCGCAGCGCTAGTCCCAGGGTGGATGTGTAGGGCCTAGAGGCAGGGAGACGTAACCAATCCAGCCACCTGGCCTCCCGCCACTGCTGCAGGCCCCTCTCCAATTTTCTTTTTCCTAAATAGCAGAATATGTGAGCTATTTGTTATTGCTGGAGTGACTTGACA